GTCCTTGCTAATGCCTGAACATCTCTCTCAAGTCCTGTTGCTTCTCTTCAGCCTGTTTATTCTTTTCCTTAGGTCCAGCTGGATCCCAGACCCCAGAGCACAGTCCTTGCCTGAGGCCCGCTGCTCAGAAGGGCCAACCATAATCCAGCCCTCACTTCCACTTGCTCTTCGAATGGTCCAATCCAGTTTCCAGCCTGGGTACTGCACTGACTCAGAGGTCAAGTCCACCAACCCCAGTGCTCGCTTCTCTCTCACATTCTCACCTCACTCGCCTCTTAGTGGTGTTTACCACAACTGGACACCCCCCCAACCTTGAAAAAAATCTATTTTCCTTGACTTTCATGAATCACATTTTCTTGGTTTTTTTCCAACATCACTGGGGCTCCTTCTCAGTCCCCTTTGCTGGCCCTCAGCTCTCTTCTCTTTTTCTACACACGGTCTATCTCCCTATGTAACCTCTTCTACTTCCCTGGAATTTAACACAGTACATGTGTCAGCGATGCCACCATAAATACCTCCAGCTCTGGCCTCACCCTGAAGTCCAATGTCTTATATTCAACTGGCCTCCTGATGGCTTCACATAAATATCAAAAAATCACCTCAAACTTACCTTAAACAAAACCTTATTTCTAACCACCCACTTCAAATTGTTTCCTCCCACATTCTTCCCTATCTCAGTAAACAGCACCACCATCCACCTATTTATCAAGACAAAATCCTAAGGAACAAGCTTGATTTTCTATTCCCCTTAGATTTAACCCATTAACAAGTTATGCAAGAACATATTTCGAATATGTTCGCTTCATCTTTATTGCTGCTGCACTAAATGAAGCCACAAGCCTGTCTTCCCTGGACAATTCTGCTATACTCCTAAATGCTCTCCTGACTTACTTGTGAACCCCAACTATCCAATCTCCACATAGTAGCTAGAATTATTTTTTACTTGAATATAATTAACTCTCCTTGTAACATTCCAGTAGCTTCCCATGCCTATTTAAATAAAATTCAAATTTCTTACCTGGGCCATCAGGGCCCAATCTGATGAGGCTCCTGGCTTCCTCTCCACCCTGCCTCATCTCATGCCACCCCACCCCTGTACTCGCTACACGTCAGCCCTTCTAGCTTTCTTTCTCTCCCTTAAACACAGCACATGTCTTCCTATACCTTGGCCTTTCCCCTGTTCCATCCCCTTGGAACATTTGTCCCTTAGATCTTCACACAGCTGTCTCTCATTATTCTTGTCTCAGCTAAACGTCACTTTCTCAGGGATAACTCACTAACCATGTGAACTAAAGTTGGATGAATCCAATTCTCTATGTCCCATCACTTCATTGTCTTTTTTTCAGAGTACTTGTTGCTCTATGAAATTTTCTTTTTCATTAAATGTTTATCATGTTATTTTCTGTCTTCTCTGATATTAGGTATGTTACATGAGAGCAAGGACCTTTTCTATCTTATTCAAACAGAATTCTCTGAGTCTAGAACAGAGCCTAGTACATAATAGTTGCTCAGAAAAATATTTGTGATCTACATGAATAAACCAGAGTTCTGGGAATTGATCACTGAGGGTATCTTGGAAAGCAAGAAGGGGCTCAAGCTCCAACACTCTTTTATTCTGATGGCACACTATATCCCTTCCACTCCCTGTGAGAAATTCAGGCAAACTTCCTCTTTCTCCTCCTTCTAGTGGAAGAAAGAGTCACAGGTAAGGAAATGGTGATTTTAGGAAACAAGGAAATTTTCATTAAGTTTCATCTCTTCTGATGGATCTCATAGTGCTGAGGGTTTGTGTAAGCTTCAGGGATTTTCGGTAATGATGATGGCATAGCTGGGGAAAAAATACAGAGGAACTGGAGGTAGAAGTAACCAGACGTGGCTAATTAAGGAAATCATAAGGCATGATGAATGAAACTGAATTTATGAGATTTAGAACAAGACCCCAGTAGAACAATGAGCCTGCTTAACTTGCTTATTGGCTTTCAGCCCTATTGGATGATAACAACCTTCACGTTATCTCTGTAATCCCACTCAAGGTATATGGTTTGAATCACATGAAATTGCTGATATTTGACTATTTTTGACTTACCAAAATAGAACTTTATATAACTTATTTTACACTAGTTGAATCCCTCCTTGTGAGCTCAGACTGGAGAATATGGTAGGTATAGGAGAAACTAGTGTAGAAAGGTTCAAAGTAGATTCATGATGAACACTAACGTAAGCCAGGTTTTCAGAGGATGCCTTAAGTCCTTTAAGGAACCAAAGAACACAGCATAGATGCTCCTTATCTATAGGGTCATTCCAAGTATGAAGGATCTTTGCCTCAGTTCCAGGCTGCTTTCCCCAGGAGAAAGAGAGAAATCTAACCCAACTCCCATCAGAGAACCTCTAGTATGGGGATACAGGCTTTATCAATATTGGCATTCAGGGGGCAAAGAAAGAAGATAATGAGAGAGGCCTTTTGACACATCCTCATACATTAGGTAGAGGCACCGACACCACAGCTCCTGTTGAGGACATAATATAGGATCCTCTAGACTCCCCATAAAATTCCTTTGAATCCCTTTTGACTCCCCATAAAATTTTCAGAGAAACCTTCCTTTTTCTGGCATAACTCACCATAATAAAGGGAAGTGCTGTAAGGGGAGTTTATTTTAACATCATTATCTCTAAATCCTCTCAAGACCCTGAGGAAATGTGATACAAATCTGGAGAGGTTTCACTGAATGAGATTTGAGAAGAAACGTTCTATACGGAGGCCTCTTACACAGGTCTCATAGAGAGGGCAAGTAGCCACGCTCCTTTTATTGCAGAAATAATTTGGGATTCATATGATAAAGATAGGTCGTCCCTGAAGAAAATGTCACAATTTTTTAAGGGACATAACCCGGACGCAGAGACCAAGTTAACTCCCTTTCTTCCCCCACCCCCAATACCCCAGCACCCAAAGTGTGCACTTACGTCGGGTGTCCCTACCCAAAGCCAGGGGAGGGCTCAGCATCATCAGTATCACTGTCAGAGCTGTCGGGGAACAGCTCCAGGAGCCTCCAGGGAACCACAGACACATCATGCTGGAGAACTGGGAAGGACAGGTGCTAGAGGAGCAGGCACGTCTCGCTCAATAAGAACTATGACCCTCCTCCACCTCAAATAATAGGAACCAAGGTATTCATTGCTTTGCTCCTTGATTGGGTAGTCTTAGTGTGGGAGAACCAATCAGCATCAGAGCTGAACAGCATCATCAGTTGCTGGTCAGAGATTACTTATGAGGGTCCTCTTCTGAAACTTCGATTTTCCTTCATTAAAGGATTGTTTTAATTTAGTACTTTAAAGGTTTAATCCAGTTGCATCTGAAACACTTTACTTGGGCCCCTATTGTGAGCCAGCTCTGTGGCTGGTCAGTGATGTGCTCACAGGTTTGAGCCTTGTAGAAACATTCATCTCCCACTTTAAGACAGAGCTGTTCAGACAAGTGTGTGTGTGAGCTTGTTTGGGAGAAAGGGGATGGAGGGAACATGACTGCAAGTCAGAGACCTTTAATCTGGTCCTTCTTGCACCATAATTTAGGGTCGTAGACTTGGGAAAATGACTTAACCTCTCACACTTGAAATGAAGGCACTGTGATCTTTCAGATATTTCAACACTGGAAAACGCTGCGATTCTGCGGACACCTCAAGAAGCAGCATCTCCTGGCAACTGATGACGTCACAGAATAATGGCTGCTAATTGGAGAGTATAATCAGTACCTCTTCACAGACAGGGAAATCTCTGGTAAACTAAAGGAAAGTGAAAGTTAGTTAATAATTCAATCTCAGTAAAAAGGTTTTCCAGGTTTGTCTCCTGAGGCTGTCACCAAGTTTAGTGGCACCTCCAGAACACTCACAGGGAACGGACTTAGAGGAGCCCATCTATGTAGAATGGAGGGTCTCAAAGGTACCTTTGTATAGTACTTAACCTAACAATGTGATAAGGTCAACTGCCCAAATCAAAGTATGTGGAGAGCTGAGAAGTCAATAAAGGACTCAAAGTCAGCCTTTAACACAACTCTGCTTTAAAGTAATTAATATTTTATGTTCAAAAGTGTTCAGTCCCTTAAGCCTGATTCCCATTATGTTTTCCTCATTTTATTGAGGCTATGTGCTTTTATTATTCCCCTTCTCTTGTTTTATCTTAAGGAAAGATATAAGAAGACTTTGCTGATGAGTA